TAAATTTTTTTTAAAATTTATATTTTTTATTAAAAATTATTTTAAAAATTGTATTAAAGAACCTTCAAAAATTCCTTTATTTGCAGAGTTTAGGAGTGTTTATCTTTCTGAAGCCCAACTAGTTCAATTTATATACAAGAGCTGTATATACAAGATGTATATGTATATGATATACATATACTAAGATAATTTTAGATATAATAAAAGCAGAAACATAACTTTCTGAATAACTGACAATCCCCCATGTAGTAGGGAAAGCTGACTGTTAAGGTGACAGACAGTCAGTCCCCAGCTAGATATTGGAATGACACTTAATACCAAATAAGAAATAGTGCCTCGGGATAAGCAGTAAGTAGTCAACCTAGCAAGTTGCTTTTGCTTGGGGAAAAGCCAATCTAAACTACAGTGATACACGAATGCAGTTGTGCCTTGAATAAGAAAGCTTTCACTTAACAACATACTACACAGTTGCAGCACACATGATTCTTTGTAGCAAGAACTGGATGTTACAAAGAGACTTGTCTTCTCCTACAGAATTAGGAATCTTTTATGCAGCACCAAAGGGGCATAGGAAATCCTGTCACAGCACCCTTCAAAAAAAATCCTGATTGAAGATGCAACTTTGGAGTTCTGTTTTCTCCAGCTCTGGAGAGAATAAGCAATGCTGGATTACTTCAGTTTGGTTGCTGGGTTACTCAGCATCACAGATCATGTTTTGGTCCTTCATCAAGGTCTGGTAGCTGTCCATCTAATCAAATCTTCTCTTCCATGCCCATAGGAAATGCAAGAATTTTATTAGAAAAAAAAATTCAATAATTTGCTATCTCTTCATAACTTGGCTTAGAACATCTCACATCTTGATGTGCACATGCACACCTCTCAGGTTTCTTCTCCAGCACAATGTTTTAATCCTTTATTGTCTGACCATTAACTTATTCTTTAACACAGGCAAGGAAAAAGTATCAGCCTCCCTCCTCCAGTTTATGGTAGCCAGAAGCAAAGAAAACTACATGTGCAGAAATTGTTTTTAGCTAGCTTTCACACTGAAAGCTGGATTTAGGGAAAAATTGAAGCTTAGTAAGACTGAGTTGACAGAAGTTTTAATTAAAATTCCAAACATTGCAACGAACATTTTAAAAAATCTTAGTAGCATGTGGTATTATATATAAAGTCAGTATCAATATAACAGTGTAACTAGATTACTATTTCATAAAAAAACTATATAGTCTAAAAAAGAAAGCTAACTTCTTTTATTAAAAAAGCTATATGACGAAGAGAAAAAATAAAAACCTTATACTAAACTACTTAGAGAACAAAAGAAAAAAAAGAAAAACACCAAGTAAATGAATAAGCAAAACACCTAAGCCTATTTAAAGACAGATATCAGACTATTAAAATTACTGTATATACTTTTCTTCATTTTTTTTTCCAATTCAATTTTTAAACAATGAATTGAATCTAAACCAATCGTATTGTTTGGTTTTGCCTCTTTGTCAGTACAAAGCTGATTCAAAGGCTGAGAATTTACAAATTTCATTACAACATTTAGAGTATGGGAGACTAGATTACAAGCATGTTGATTATGAGTATATGATCATCTTTTTCACCATAGTCCAAGTGTAATATATCCAAATTTCTCCAGTTTGGAAGATTCCAAAATTTGGGGATATAAGTTAATAATATCTTATTTATTTATATTACAGTTTAGAGGCCACCTGACTCCACAGGACTCTAGGTGGCTGACAACTTTAAAGCAAGAACAATAATAGAGAATCAAAAGTCACAGATGTCCAGACAAAAAGTTAATATCCAATGACAAGTTCTACAAGGGCTCGATACCCTTCTATCCCTAGGCCTGGGAGGATAACCAACTTTTCAATAACTTTCTGAACATCAGAGTGGGAACTGTACAGAGCTCCAGAAGGATGCTGTTCTAGATGGCAGGTGCCGTGCCAGAGAAGACATGCTTCCTAGGTCCTGCTAGAAGACATTGTTTAATTGAAGGACCAGGAGCATGGCCACTCTGCCCAATCTTATAGGATGGACAAAAACTACTGGTCTCTCAACCAGTCCCTATGCCATGAAGGATTTTATAGGTGGTAACCAGCACCTTGAATTGCACCCAGAAGCTGAATGGTAATCAGTACAGCTCATTAAGAGTGTTGTCACATGGCCATACTGCAGCATATCCATTACAGCCTGCACTGCTCCATTCTGGACCAGTTGTAGCTTCCGAGTGGTCTTCAAGGACAGCCTCCTGTAGAGAGCATTGCAATTGTTCATTTGTGAAGTAGCTAGGATTTCTGGAGGGGCTCCCAAACCAGGAATCTGTGCAAAGGCCCTCTTGGCCATAGCTGTTAACTGCTCTTTGAGCAGGAGCTATGAGTCCAAGAAGACAGTGCCCCTCCCCATGGACTCTTACTCATGTTCAATCAGATTCACTCTTTGTCATCCTTCAATGGCACTCCAGGCATCTCTTCTGATGCTTCATTTCCCAGAGTTCACCAGAAAACCAAAGAATATCCTGGGGTCAGCACACACGGAGAAGCCACATAGGGGTAATGCAGTCCAAGGTCCTCCCCACCAGGCTGCGACTATGTCCTTGGCTGAACTGCTCAAAAGGTCCTCAGGGAAAACCCCAAGTTCCCTTTGAAATCCTACAGGGTCCACAAATTGCCAATATTGAGCCAATATTCAATATTGTTTCCATTCTAATACATGATTTGAAGTTAACTAATAAGTTCAATGATACTGTTTAAAATCAGGAAAATCAAAATCACTGTAAGACAGTCATAACGTTAACAAAATCCTGGGTATTTCTTCCTCCTACAAAAATTTAACCATTAACACATCAATCTGTTTAAAACATTTAAATGGAACCAACATAGGCATTGCTCTCAAAATATTTATCACACTTGATGCAAAATTCATTTTCACATTAACTCCCCAAAACTTAAAAGATACTTTTTTTTCCTATCTCTTAGTAGTCATCTGGATAATACATTTAGAAATGTTCTTATTGATTAAGCTGAATTATTTCCCTGGGGATAATGATCTCATTGAATAACTTCTGGATAATATATAAAACCTAATTATTTTCCTATACCTTTGGAACCTCATATTTGGCCTAATCTTTGACTTAATCCAATTTATTGTAAACCCGGAATATTTACTATATAACTCCACAATTTCTATCAATTTAGGTAAAGATTATAGATAGTCACTTAATGACAAAAATGTATAGACCAGGACAATACATACTGGACTTCAAGATCATTGTAACCCTTAACCATAAAGCCATTCACAAAAGGGACCTACTCCAAGTATCTTAGTCCCAGGAAAAGAGACATGGAAGTACTCCATCTAAAATTTTGCTTGTTAATGTGTAATTATAATGTGATGTTGCTCAGGATTCACTTTTTAAAGAAACAAATCATTGTTTCATTGATGCAAGTTTTAAATGACATACTGTATATTACACAAATTACTCAAAGCAAAATACTGCCAGACAAGGTGATTTTACTTATCCATGTGTATTTAGTTCCTAGACTTTATACTCAAGCTACTTGGTGTGTAATCCCATATTAGGAACAGGCTACATAAGTCTCCCAAAAGCAATCTGACATTACAATCTAAATGATTCTTGTATTAAAATGATATTCCCTCCAATGTGCGAGAGGAATCATTTTACATGTTACTCCTAAAAAAGTTACAAAAATGAAACACTTTAACTTCTTGCTGTCTTTAAGGACCTGGAACGAAGTGATATTTTTCTTCCTGCAATTTTAATCACAGTTTTTAAATCTGGATGTTCTATGCAGTTGGGGTATGCTATGCTGTTACAAAACATGTATTTTGATAAAATATTGTGTGTGTATATAGTATAGTCTATATTAATAAATTTATTAAATTCAGTTTCTCTCCTCTTGAGGTTAAGCACTGTATTGTACAAATCTTGTTGATACTTTCATATAGGAATACTTACTTCAGGAAGCAGAACTTAAAATTAACCGAGAATTTTGTAAAAGACAGCAACTAGATTTGATTAAGACAGCAAACTTGGAAAAAATGTTGGAAAGTCTTGGAGAGAGAGAAGTGAAGTTGCTGAACCTGACAGAAGAATTGGAAAAATCCTCTAAAACAAGACAGCTTCAGGAAACAAAAAGGAAAAAAGAAATCCAACAAGTATGCTTATAAATATTTTTGTGAGTCACTGAAGGATGCATGTTCCTAGCAGATGGCCAAAGATGACCCCAATTTACTATTCAGAGGGAAGAGCCACGCAGAAGAGCCTCCGCCTATAGGTTTGGGTTGCATTTATACCCTGGCGCCCTTCAGATCTCTTCTGCCTGGCAAAATAAGGGCACCATTATTTTGTAGCTAATATATTGTATTGCTTTCTATGGTTTTTCTGAGTTTATGTAGCCATATACTGAAAACTACTAGGGTTGTCCTGATGCTAGTATACTTGATATGAAATATAAGTGCCAAATTATTGGTGGCACAGGGAATTGATTTGGCTGTTTGCGATAATTGAGCACAATTGTGGATCATTTTGTCAGCTGGGAACAACCATTTCTGAGTCCTCCCAAGCCGCCACAGGGAGTCTGGAAGGTTGTCACTTCCTGTTGTTGTTGTTTTTCCTGCCAGAAGAATTCTTAAAAACAAAAATCTGGCAGTGCAATTAGCATTGGCCCCCTCATGGGCAGTGCCAGGGAGCCTTAGTTACTATCAACCCTTCTCTGCCTCTGCTTTTCAGCCTCTGCTGTGTAGCCACTGGGGGGAGGGGGATGAAAAATTAAAAGGAGACACAGTACACAGAAAAGCCTTGTTTTCACAAGGCTGCTCTAGCATTTAGCTCTGTCTTGGAAGCAGGAAAGAAAAATTAATCCCAACATAAATCAGGTGAAATTGTTTTACTCTCAAACAGTCCTATGGCTGTTTCAGTCTAAAATTAATCACCTCTGGTTTAGCTGTTGGTATTAACTGAGTTAGGGTTAAAAGCATTTCCTTTTCTTTCCTTTATGCATCCAGTGTTCTAAATATGGATCATAAAATGAATTTGGGATTATTTACATATATATATTTTAGACAAGAAGCCAGCTGACCCAGGAACGCAATTTAAAACTGAACGCTTTCCAGAGGATACGTGAGCTGCAGTGTCAAATTTATGACTCAGAAGCTGCAATTTCCCAGAAACGTTCCCCTGCAGGTACAAATGTAGTTTGAAAGATAATTGGTTGTAATTACACATGACATAACTTGCACAGATATTATACTAAACAAAAACAAAATAAGCAATAAGAGTCTGCAGTCTTGGAAAGGAAGGGAAGATGAAAGCAATTAAAGAAATAAGGCCTTGAACCTAGGGAGCTAACTCTTTCCGGAAGAATTATGTCAGTACTTCTCATTTCCCAACATGCTCATATGTACTCATCAATTAACTTCAGTGAGCAAAAAGCAATGGAGGAAAATAGTAACAATGGCACAGGATACAGTTCAAAGATGGGAGCTCAAATTACCATACCAACCTCAGAACTCTCCATTTTTAATGAAAGAGGAGGAGGAGGAAGAGGAGGAGGAGGAGGAGGTTCTCTCACCCTCGGTTTTGCTAACAAATCCTATACTGTATTGTCAAAATTAGAAGTTTAAAATGGGCCTTGAAAATATTTACTGGATAGCTTCAGTGTGGGAGTTATCCCCTATTCAAAGTCAGTATGTTTAACATGCCACTGCTGAAAAGCAGAAACTTCTCATAGCACCTGGCCAGTTCACATTTGACATATGAGTTGAAATAACAGGATCCTGGACTTTTCTAATAACCAGGCATCATCAATTTCCCTTCTATTGCATTTGCTTTTTGTACCATTTTCAATCAATAATTTGTTATTTGTGGCTCAAGACTCAAACTCTACGCTAAATCAGGATTTACCTTGTGGCAATAAGGGCAGCGAAGCATACTTCCTTCTCTGCCCTTAGATAGCCACCCATCAGCCCTGTTTTGGGTGACCGGGTCCCTCTTGGATAAGAAGGAGCTGGGAAACCTGTGCAGAGTGCTGTGAGGAATAATCTCAGCATCTGTCAGACATAGTTGCTCAGCTTTGCTTGGACTCTGACTAGGCAGATCCTTTGGAAGTGACCATGTCTGAGCCCTGTAATCCAGGAGGAGCTTGAGCTGGTTGATCCTGAGGAAGTAGACAAGGTTCCCATGGCTGTGAGCACAGCCACCTGTGTTCTGGACCCATGCCCCTCCTTGGTTGGTTAAGGCATCCCAGGAGGTGGCATGTGTTTGGGTCCAAGTGGTGATTAATACCTCTCTGTGGGTGGGGGTGGTACCACCTGCTTTGAAGGAGGCAGAGGTGCACCCCATTCTTAAGAGGGTATCCTCAGACCCAACCATGTTCGACAAGTTTTGTCTGGTCTCCAACCTTCCCTTTTGGGGGAAGGGTGTTGGGAGGGTGGTTGGCATTTAGCTTCAGAGGGCTCTGGAGGAAGCGAATTATCTGGACCCATTTCAGTCTGGGGTACAGTACTGAGAGGGCATTGGTCTTGGTTGCTGATGACCTTTGGAGGGCTCGGGACAGTGGTGGTGAAACTGTTCTGGCTCTCCTAGATCTCTCAGTGGTTTTCAATACCATCAACCATGATATCCTTCTGGACCGGCTTTGGGGGCTGGGGGTGGGAACCACTGTTTTGCAGTGGTTATCCTACTTTTTCCACAGCTGGTTCCATTTGGTATGGGGGGAGAGGTCAAACTCTATGCCCCTGCAATGTGGGGTGCCTCAGGGCTCTGGCTTCTCCTCTTTAACATCAACATGAAACCACTGATGACGTCATTTGACAGCATGGAGTGCAGTATCCTTAGTATGTTGATGAAACCCAGTTATACATCACCCCAGGCTGGAGAGGTGATGTGGTTGCAGTGCTAACCGACTGCTTGAAGGCTGTGAGGGTCTGGATGGGGAAAAACTAACTTTGACAATCCTGGCAAAACAGACTGAGCTTGTGTGTAATTTGAACTCCCTGCTTCTGCTCAAGGAGCAGGTGGCAGCCATAGCTATGGGGGATTTTGCACAGCTTTGTCTTGTCCACCAATTGTGCCCTTTCTTGGACCAGGAAGCCCTGCTCATGATAACTTCCTGTAATGGTATGTGGGAAAGATCTTGGGAGATGGGGGGGAAGAGATTCTGCCCAGGAAACAGCATAGCCCACAGCTACATAATGGGCAGGCCAAGGGCCTCAGAAGGGACCCTCCCTAAGTTCTCAGGCTGTAAAGGTGAAGGCAGGAGAAGTGTACTTTCAGACTTGCACAATTCTGTTAATGTAGTCTTACAATAAAGTAGAATTAGTTTATCTAGTTGTTTCCTGTCTGGGCTACCTGGTAAAGCTGACACTTCCTGTTTGGACTACTGCAACACACTGTACCTGGGACCACCCAGAAGCTACAACTGGTCCAGAATGCAGTAGCACATCCAAAGTTGGGTGCACCCAGGTTTGCCCACATTACACCCGTTGTGTGAGCTGCACTGGCACCCAGTTTCCTTCTAGGTACAATTCAAGGTGCTGGTTATCACCTTTAAAGCCTTACATGGCATGGGAAGATTTATGGGACTGTATCTCCCTTAGAGTATCTGCCTGTCCCACCAGATCTGATAGCATAGGCATGCTCCAGGTCCTTTCCCTGAAATGCTGCCATCTAGAGGGACCTAGGAAGTGTGTCTTTTCTGTGGCTGCCCCTACCCTGTGGAACACCTTCCCACTGGTGATCCGGCAGGCACCCACCCTTTTAGCCTTCCAGAAGGCCATCAAGACCTCACTGTTTGCCCAAAAGCTGGGGTAGAGTAACGGGGTCTGCGGATGGTTATTGGGGGATCCTAGGATGACTCAGGCCCCAGATTTTTAGTTTTATGGTTTTAATGTTTTTGTAGTTTTGTTGTGAGCTGCCCCAAATTATGTTCTGATGGGTGGTCATACAAATCTTTTACATGTTATAAATAAATGCTCCAAAATATGGATCCAGGTTATTTGGCCCCATGAAACACTTGCATTACATTTAACCCCCCATCATATGAGTCAGTTAAGTCCCCCTCAGTAATGAAGCATTACCCAAATCCATGCCATGTAGGAATCATATCTTTGTGAATAGCATTTTTTTTACCAGTTCTTGATTGCTCAGATAGCAACACTATTGTCTACTTGTAGTATTGGAAGAAAAGTTCTGAAAAAAAACCATTACAGGAGTGAGTTTTTACTTGCTGAAGTCTGGATGAAGTCTTGGTTCTCTTGTTTACATTTCATTCACAAATGCTTAAAGCTAGGAGTCCAGTGCTTGGTAATTTCATACAGATCAAGCAGCAGCTGCATTACAGCATACCTCTATTCTGAAATACTGTTATTGGATTGTAAGAAAGTTGTCTAAGAGAGTCTGAGGAATTGAGAATGATGTGAGAATTTAATTTCCACTTATATGGATGTAGTATGGCATTCAGCAACAGAATCAATGTCAAAGGATCTAATGTTATCTATTTTAATGAATGTTAACCAAATTTGAAATCTGATGAACCATTGCCTAAACATGCCACCTTGAGTTCCTGAAAGCAGAATACAAGTCTAACAAAAAGTGATGGGTTCAGATCTTTTAAAAATGTAGATATTTTGATATTTTGTATTTTTCATACTTTATCTTAGATTCATCTTAGATTATTTACGTTCTTGCTTTCACAGTTACAAGAATGTCTGCTAATCTTTCACACATTGCCAAAAGGAAACCTTACTCTTTTCCAGGTAACAAGAACTAAGCTACTGACATTTCTCATTTTAACTTTAGCATATTATCTTGAAAAGCTATAAGGAAAAAAATAATATATAAATAGAAATAATAAATATGTAGGCTCCCTTCATCAAGCAGTTACTAGTCTATTATATAAAAGCAAATAAAGTTCATGGATGTTATGCTTTTATAGATTGTGAATTTAACACAATCTCATTGCCACAATAATGCTTACAAAGCCCTGAGTTTGAGTTTGACTTCTGGTAATTACATGGACACATACATGTGTTATATGTATGTTTGTGTGTGTAGACAGACAGGCAAAAGTATTAAAGTGGTTTGCATCTCTCATCTTCCAGGATGCTTTTCAACTTTCTAGTCAAGCCTGCTGTTCTGACTGTTATAGCTACATCCTGCAAATAATATAATTTGAAGGATAATCTAGGTAACTTTGACCAACTTCAAAAAAGCTAAACAGGGTCAGGCCTTATATTTGGATGGTACGCCGTCAAGAATATCCAAGGCCTGGAAATTGGGAACAAAAAATACAGAAGCAGTTGCAACCCCCTTCAATAGTATTGCCAAGAAGATGTCATGGATGTGTTCTATTCAGATTGCTGTTCATGCACACTTCAAATGTCATCCACGCTGGCTATGGGAACATTCTAATGAATAAGCATCTCTTCTGCATAAAGCTGTGAACAGGATGTATTAACAAAGAATACAATGTAGCATTGTGTAGGTATGCACAGAAATATTCCAGAAATTGGAACAAACTCTTAGCAAGATTAGCTGTACAAATTAATCAAAGCCTAGAATATACTGCTGGTCTTGTACAATCGGATCATTGCATACTCTGCTCTGTTTACACTGTTAGAATTAGAGGTACACCAAATGCTTTGATTTGAAATGTTTGAAGCACAAAATTTCACAAAATGACTTGTATCAAATCTGAAAATGACACTGAGTATTTTGGATGTGTTTTGAGCTCAAGTCAGAGATTACTGAGTTCAAAACACTTCCAAAAATGCAGAAAACTACAGAATGTTTTCACAAATTTTCATCCTTGAAATATTTCCAAATGAAATCAACTATGTAAACAGTAAATTTCTAGAATTGTCCCTGTATTCTTTCTTGTAAGTTAAGAAAACAAATTACTGAAAGAAGTTGCAGTTTTCTTAATACAGTAATCCAAAAAATACTTGGAAGTTACATATTTGTTATTTGTTTCCCTGTAGAAACTGTAGATACCACTATACAAATCTGTAATATTACATTGTTTTCAAATTTTCTCTCTCAAGATTAGTCCTTAAAAAAACCCAGGTAAAGTGTTGCAAAGGACAGAAAGGATTTTTTAAAACGGACTTCATCCAGACCATTTAATAGTAAAGCATTATTGGTTCTGAAAATGGTATATTTTCTTTTTCTTTTTATCCTTTTATTTAAAACAAAGTTTATTTTCAGAAAAGGTATTATCTATGAATGGACAGACAATAACTGAACTTATACAATTAATACTCAACATTAAAAGATACTGAGTTGTTTTTATGATATAAAAAAGTATAAATTATAGTAATAGTACATATACATAATAGAAGTTGAACTAAGTTTAAGCAAGAATGGCTTCCATATATATTATATTATGCAGCAAGGTAAATAAAAACAGTATGGTGTCTAAAGTTTACATCAATAGGTACTGCAAATGAGTAGAAAAAAGGGGAAGTCAAAAATTAAATATGTACAATATTAGTCTTAGAAGTGATTTTTTCTCCTTTTCCTCCTTTTTTAATATTTATAAATAATAATACAGTGGAGATTTTGGCATTAGGCTCAAGAAACGGTCTGCTTTCAAGAAGGGATATGCAATTGTTTGGATGTGACCTAGAAGAGGTGCTTTGAAATGTACAGAAGAGCAAATGTAGTACTTCTGGGGAGAGGCTGTAATATTACCAACTAACATAAATAGAGCAGAACATACAAGGATTGGCTCAAACAGATGGTACATGCTCACTCTTGTGTGTTCTGAAGCACACTACTTTCAAGCCAGTCAGAATAGATGTAATTAAACTAGTGTGACTTCCTAAGGGGGGAAAAAGCGATCGGTAACAACCTTGAAAGTAAACACATCTGCTTCTAGCGTGTATCATAATGCTGGTTACAGGCTTCTCAGTTGGCTGGTCAAATTATTTTTTTCTACAAAGCAGACTGATAGAGGGCAGATGTGAACTCCATCTCTTCTCTGCAACCCCACTCACTCGTCATCTACAGTTGTCAGGCAAGTTGCTATTAAGCATCGCTATGCAAACAAAAAAAGGGTTGTAGATTTGCCTGGAATGTAACACATCACTTTTCTTCGTATGTGATGCTATCCCCATTCCCAGTGTGAGGAAGCAGTCTTGTTTTTGCTACAATACCTTTTATAGGGACAGACTTGCCTAACAGAAGATAAGAAGCTATCACTTTTTTTTTCCTTGCCAAGTAGAGGTTCTGTTTTTTGATGCATTAACTACGGAGTATTAAATTATATATTACATTTATATTTCAGGCTCTTCTTCATGCAGTCAGAATGCAGAACTACCAACATTCATGTTAACCAGGGATTCCACACAGCATCTTTTGACTGCCAAAATAAAGTTAGAGAAGATTCCTAGACCAAAAACAGTGAGTAGTGAAAAGTTAATGAAAACGTTAGACAACAAGTAAAATTGTTGTCCGTCAAGAGAGCAACAAGTACATTAACCTGAATGCTATTTTTTAAAGACTGTCACTTTGAAAGAATAACAGTGGTTATTCTTGCATATGTATACAGCTCAGACATGCGGTAGGTTTCCCATTACTTTGCTTCCCAGATTATGCTGCTATAAAACACAGCCACTCCCAAATTTTTGAAATGTTGGCTATTCAGAGTGCAAAACATAAAAATAACAACCTTTTTATTTCCAGGTACCTTCTGGATGGAGAAACAGAGTAGTAGATGCTCTCTTGCCAGACCTTACAGAAAACTCTGATTCTACTCTTCCTGTGCAACAAGAACAAAACCCATCTCAAAAATAAATTGCTACTACTTAGTTTTGTCATTGACCAAGACTGAAATTACTATTGCACATAGTTGCTGTCAGTAACTGTTAATAAAACATTTCCTATCGTATTTTCTTCAAAGCTTTGAATACCAACATCATCGGTGTAAAAGATTTTGGTTTGATCCTGTCACACTGAGGTTTCGTTGTTGTGCTTTTGGGAGTTACAGATTGTCATTACTATACATGCATTGTATAAAGCTGTAGTATGATATTTCTTAAACAAATGATTTCTTGGGTCCACTGAAGAACTGGTGCCTTACAAAAATTTGTAGCACTCTTACATGCTGTCAATGTAAAATTTTATTAGGTTGTTTATGCAGTCCAGCTCTAAGTAACTTGGACAGAAAAGGCATTTTAATAAGTGATTTATTATTTTGGTATTACGGTTGTAAATAATTTGCATTTCTTCCAATGACAATACCACATATGCAATATATAATGTATACAACATTCCATTCCCTATGCAGTACATTTGCATATGAGAGTTTTAAGAACAATCCAGATAAAGAATGAAAGTCACAATTTACTGTCTTAAGAATTAAGGTCCATGTGATCAGTTATTCCACAAAGGCAATTTCTTAAAAAACAAACAACAAAGAAACTCTTATGCTAAATTTCAAACAGCCAGCAAAGAAATGATAAAAATCTATTTCTACTAATTTGTATGTAATGGCACTATACTGAAAACAAAGTTTCATCTACCTACATCTAGATGGTAAACAATTTAAGTATGTGAATAACAGGGAAGCCCCTTAAAGTGTCTGCTATAGTTTGGTAGATTACAGATAAAGTTGGTTTAGAAAATCACATCTATTGACACTGCATGAAATTGTTAGAAATGACCTAGAAACTGAATATATAGCTTCATGCTACGCAAATAGAAAATACCGATTTCCTGAAAGGTAGCACTAACAACTGAATTTCCTTGGAAAAGAGCAACTGCTGACACTAAGGGGCAGATATATTGATTAAAGTCTCTTTCCCTGTATTGCTTTCAACAGACATGAGGCCAACATTAAGAAAATTTAAGGCACTTGAAAGAGGGTTCACTATGTTTAGGAATACATGATTTTAATGTTTTCAACAGTTATTCTTGGCTCAGTAACAAAATCAGCTCACATTTCAATTTTGGAAGTACATACAGCACTGTCAGTTTTGAAACTTTTTTCTATAAATTTACAAGATAAATATTAACAGCCATTCAAGAATAAGCAAAGAAACAAAAAGTAAACAGCTTTTTAAAGTCTTACTATGAAAAATAGGTTTATCAAATGCTAAGAGGGCAATTTTAAACAATTATCACTCTTTAGAAATGCATTCATGTATGTTTAAATTTTACAATCTTTTCAGCTTCTTAACCTAAATTTATGAAGACACGGGGAACTGGATTAAATGACTACCATAAGGCCATTAAATAAATATCACCTATTTCAGTTAAACATGCTAAGAATGGAGTGGTCAGTTCACTGTTTTATTCACCTGAGCTATTGTCTTTTAAGAGTGCATTTGTCTGATAATTCTTTAAAGTTATAGTACTCTCCACTAAATATATTTTATGAATAGACTTTCTAGCTAATATTATTGAAGTAAACATTACTCAAGCTAGAAGGATTAGGGAAATTAGAATGATGTTAACATTTTTACAATAAGTCTCCAGAGTCAATTTTGTCACCAGCATAATACCAAGCACTGTACTTCCTCTTTCACTGGAGCTCATCCAGGAGTAGCACTTAAGCCTATAAATTGAGGTTTAATTATTTCAACTGTATTTATCACATAACTTGCAGAACAAACATTAACAAACTAGTAAGAGAATAATCAAAACTAAAATAACTTCATTCAAGTGTTCAATCGATTTCGTTTCTATCACAATTGTTATCATGTGTTATGAAACCTACAGGTGGGATATTGCTATGTGGGGATAAAATATTCCCAAATCCATGCAGGAATACAGTACCTTTAAAATATCCATAATGTGGTGAGCACTAACTGTGATTGCTAAAATTACTATCCTCATATGAAAAGCATAGCATTTTCTAAGGCAGGTAATTTGAAGGCTACAGACAAATGGCTTTAGAAACAGTAAACAAAGCCTGGATACAGTAGATTGAATCCACATTTGCTATATTTAACAGGCCCACCAAAATTAGTTGGATAAATTCATCACATGTAGCTTATCCAATCCTTTTTCCTCAATGGATCTAATTCCTCAATTCCACAAAAACCTAGATCCAAAACATTGTATTAACATATATGAAAACCACAATGTTAGCATATAATGCTGAGGTTCATATATCTACTGGAGAAAACTTGCTGCAAATGGAATGAAATCCTCAAAAAAATTAGATGACATAAAGCTTCAATTTGCAGTCTACTAATTAAGGCACTGGTCCTTCTTCCTTATGCGCCAAGGAATATATATCTTTTGATCATCATTCTTCCTATGGATGCTTATACTTAAATTAGAAAACAATCATCCTTCTCACATCGTATAATATGGAAAAATATGGGCATACATATTTCTTAAGAAAAAAAATCCTTAAAAACATTCTACAAATCTCTTCCAATTTCCAAGCTGAACAAGATAAAAAGCCACAGCTTTTACACAGATAATATTTTATGTCAAGTTAACAGTAATCTGTTTTTAATAATGATTCATGGGGTATCTAAAGCTAATTAAATCGCTGTAATCATAAAATTATCTATTAAGAACATTGCTGCCACTAAATACAGTAACTATCAACAGCTATATCTGGCATATCAAATAAAAGAATAGATTCCATAGTAGCAGCTACTAAAGAAATTTAAAACAGCAAATTAGGATTCATGCAGAATATTGCAAGTATTTCTGTTGAGCAAGACATGATTCACACAATCTTCTTCCAAGCCCGTTGCAGAACTATTTTTTTAAGTATTGAAAAACATTATCTTGAATTGCTATATTCCATAAAGAATAAGCATCTTTTGGTGTAGCTAACCATAAATATTGAGCTATTCTAAGTCCACTTAAAAAGCCACATTTCCTAGAGAGTATGATAGTTTTGTTCTTTGGACTTGCAAAATTTATACACAAAGAAGATTACTGCTTGCAGACCCAGCACAAGGACAATACCACCAATGAAACTGGCAGCATCAAAACTTGCTTTGTGATGTGATGGTTGGGCAGTTGGTGTTGGAGATGGTTTGTCTGTCAAATAAGAGGATTATAATTATTAGTGACTTGCTGCTAAATTACATTTTCTATATATTATTTTCTGTCATCTAAAAATCAGTTCAATTCTGTCTCTATGAAGCAGAATTTGGAGACACTCTTCAACAGAAGGAAAGTTACAAATTAGTCCTTTTTTAGATTAGAGGCTACAAGGGGGCCAGACCAATTGCTTTCTAAACCTGTTCAGATTAGTAACATCCTGTGTGAGGATGCTATGGAGTCCACAGATACAAAATGAAATATTTTTAATTAAATGCAAATTTTGTAGGATTTAATGATCTTGCAAGCTTTCAGAGCATGTTCTAAGAAGTGTTATCATATGATCTGGAACTTAATTGCTGATTTCCTTCATACTTTGCAATGTGCATACAAAGTACCTCTTGGAATCATTAAAGCTAAGCAGAGCTACTATGCTTCACAAAGAAAAGCTTATGAAGCAACTCCACATGCCTGAAAAAAGACACTGCTGCTTTATGATTCAAAGACAGATGTTTTGTACACTCCCCTACGTTATACAGCCCCAAAAGGGAACATTACTACCCAATCTGACTCTTTTGTTTTCCAATGTGGACATTAAAAAATCAAATGTACTATTTTGTTTAATCCACAATTCAATTGCCTTTTGCTTTTCTTTATCCATTCACATGACAAGAACTATCTTACAGGTAACTTTCCTCAAAAGAACACAGTTCATTATGAATTCTGTTAAATTAAATTTTACCTGTTTTAGTAGTAATAACAGCACTGGTGGTGCTTATTGTAGTATTCAGAACAGGTTTTACTGTAGTTGAACTACCTGTTTTAGAGAAAACCCAGTTTATATTACTTTATTTACCTTGAAACATGAATGTACAATTACAAAGTAGTTACAGAATCCTACTTGTGATTCAAATCAACGAACGTAAGATCACAAATTTTATCTGTTCCTTCCCTACATTTTGAAGGCCTAAAATTATTTTAAAAATCTAATAAATATACCGAACACAATTCAAGAATCAAATATAAAAGGGGGAAATATCCTAAATGGAAACCCATAAAAATTGTGAGTTTATCTTCATCTGGAGATTGCCAAGAACAAGAGCATAAAACGAGCCTTGTAGTGTTATTGGGACCAATAAAAGAAGATCAGGAAAAGGAGCATATAGCCTGTACAATTATTATTACATATTTAGGAGGCAGGGATTTTGGAGAAGAAAATCTCTCTCTTTTTCTTGTGTTTTTTTGCATTTTCTTGATCAAGAAGAACAATATCACCTCATGAGTTATTCCCATAACTGCTGTGTATTTCAGCACAACCAGATCTTTGTAGCTGTGCAAATTAATTGGGTTGAAAACTCCTATATACAATATTATCATTGTGTAGTTTCAACTAAGGATAATTTCTAACAGTAGTCAAATAACAATACTGTAAATCAGGCACATTTAGAAATGCTATCAGACATACAAGAAATTACTCATCAAAAGAGAATGGAAATATAGAAACTGAATTTTTTGTGTAGAAGAAATGTTAAGGTACACAATCTATGAACCACTGTGAATTCATGATTTTTTAGCATTACTTGAACTTTACTAGCACATTCTCTTAAAGCGTATTTTGCTTAATCTACAGGTTTATCAACCAAATTACTGACATAATTGAGTGTAATTACTCTAGAGCACAAGAATTAGGTAAGCATTTAAGGCAAAAACTTACATCTGTCTTCAAATATTTATTTTACTACAGATTAAACCGTTGGACAGCATTAAGCTAAGACTATATGTCTGCATCAATAATTTTTTTTTTACCTGCAGGGCTGGTGGCTATGGTAGATATACTAGCTGTGGTACTGAGAGACAAATCTAAAAAAAACAAAAACAAAAATAAAGCAACTATGAAGCATAAAACTGATTTTTAAGAAAACCAGAGAGACTTAATAATAGCAGCAATATCTAGGCTGGGAATTCTTACAGGGTTCTTACATGCAAACAAATCTTTGGCTGGGCCAAGAATAATTGTAACTTGGGGGTAAATAATACGGTGCCTGAGGCACCAACCTGCCTTCAGACACTTGCCTTAGAGTCCACTAGGCTTCTAGTCCCATTTGTCATTTTGGAAAGATCATTTAAATAAACAGGAAGCTAGCATATGACAAGGCATTATTACTCTGTAGGGTAATATAGTGTTTGGCCTGACATTTTGAAAAGAAATATCATATGAAGTTAACAACTGCAAGAGTTATTCTACCTGGCATTTCTGTTGCTGCTGCTCACTTCCATTCTGCAATCTAAAGGTTAGAGGTGGCAGGGATAGGCAGTGGAATTCAACAGAGGTGTGATGTGACATGGCTGCAGCTGCTAACTTTTTGCATGGGAGGAAGGATTTATTTAATGGATGGAGCTTAGTTGTAGTCCCTCGCTCAGTTTCTTCTGAAGGCCAGGGCCTGGGGGTGGAGGCTGATGTTGGTAAACATACTTTCTTCTTGGCTGATTTGCAGAAGGCTGAGCAAATGAGCTTTTATATGCAAGTGGTGGAGGCTTTCTTGGAGGCTAGAGTGGTCTGTATGGTTTTGTTATTTTATCCTAAGCAGATAAGATATCCTGCTCAATCACTGAGTGTGTAGTTGTAACCAGTTGGAATCCAGGTAGATGAACCCCCCTGCCCTGCAAAGCAAGTCCAGTGATGGTGTAAGGCTCCATAGGCAGAATATGGGTTGACCAGGTCTGAGTACCAGGGTTTTCTGGGCCTACTGGGTGCTATTAGAATCAGTTAAACACTTTCTGATCCTGCACTTGTTTCAGAAGCCTTGAGATTAGAGGGAACGGGGGAAACATAACTGGATTTGGAGTCAAATGCTGGTGAGGGCATTTGTTGCCTCTGCTACCTGGCATAGGAAGCACAATATTATTCACCTGACCTTGTGATTGGTGACAAGTAGTTCTTACATCATCTACCACTGATTTCCAAAGACTGACACAATTTGCTCTCATAGTCTGGGACTGAGAGACCCATGGGCATTCATGTGAAAGCCAGTTTTCTGTAGTGGTTAAGGCATTGGGCTAGAAACCAGGAGACTCTGGGTGACCTTGAGCCGGTCACTCTCTCTCAGCCCTAAGAAGAAGGCAATAGCAAACCACTTCTGAAAATCTTGCCAAGAAAACTGCAGGGACTTGTCAAGGAAGTTGCCAGGAGTCAAAGACTGACTCAAAGGCACCAAACAAACAAACAAACAAAGGCATTCACGGCTGAGGCAGTCCACCTCCATGCTGTATATTCCCTGAGCATGGTCCACCATAAGAGATGGCATGTTTTGGCCAGCCCAGCATAGGAGATTTTACTGTTTCCTTCATCACCTGCCTTGAGCTGCTGCCATCTTCCTTCCTTATATTGACTTTGTTGGTCACACTACTTATTCAAAAGAGGACCTAGAAGCCTTTTATCAGTATATTTGATCAGATTATGCTGTCTTGGGCTTCCTTTCCCATTCAGATTTCCTGGGATTTTAGCCTTGGCGGCGTCCCTCTCATCCTCTGTATGCCGTCAGCTGGGTTTCATGAGACAGCCATATCCCTTCCAATGGATAGGCTTCTGGTAGATGGAACTCATCTTCACTGGGATTGGCAAGCTTCTCCAGGATCTTTAAGCTATTAAGATGCAAGAAGAGGAGAAGTATCCACTGGAAGGGTAGGACTGAAATCTTGTATATGACACTGAGTCTATACAGGCAATCATCTGCCCTGGAGGCTGGAAAGGGTCATTAAGTCCAGGTGTCTGGTCTGAACAACTGACACAACTAGCTACTGAATAGTCTACTTACTTTCTTTTGGTAAGGAGATCAGGCTTTTTTCGTGTTTAGAATATCATCAAAGTGCTAGCTAAAGTTAGTTTTGTCTTTGCTAATTACAAATCCTAGTTCGTTGAGGGTCTGCATAGTGATTGTGTCATGCTCCTTCTGCTGAGTTGATGGAAACTGGATCAGAAGGTCTACAGAGGAGTACATGGGCTATGGGATCTGAAATGGGCTATGACAGTCACCACCACCTTTGTCAATGGAAGGGTTTTGAATTGGTTGTCAGTGTTCTGTCATCCAAACCTCAGAAATTTCCTATGGAACGGGCAAAGTGCAATGTTTAAGCAAGGCTCCTAAAAGCCAATGAGGCTGGGGTATGTTTCTCTCTGAAGATATTCTGTGATGGATCTCAGAGTTCCCATAGAGAACTTGTGGCATTTCATGGTGCAGTTCACTCATTAAGGTTTGGAACAGTGTGCCATCTCATTTTTATTGTACAATGAATACAGAATCTCTCACCTTGTGGACCCATGGAAAAGTCTAAATAATGTACAAGCTGTAGAACAAACCTAAAAGAGTTTATCAGCCTGCTAAATATTATTGTTCAATTTATTTTTGCTTCCAAAGTAAAGCCAATAACTTACATTTTCATTCTCACCACAGAGTAGGAAGTCTACCCTACAATGAATATGGAAATGCAAGCTTACTAACTTTTAACAGGCTGTTAAAACATAGAGGAAAAGGTTGTCAGATCACAAGAGAAAGATTCAAACTGCATCATATTTTGAAGATACCGCACAGCTCATCCTTTTTCCATAGACATTTTGTTTGTTGTGGGTCCTCAACAGAAATTTGTTTTCCATAACAATAGGGAAGAAGAATGGACATAAAGAAACACAGAAGCAGTAGAATACAAGGTTCGGCAGCATGTTCTCCCCTTTTGCAATAGAGAATTTAAAGAAACAGGAATAATCTTTGGTTGAAATTTGGCAGCTGTAATAAAAGATTATGTGTTGACCAAACATAATCAATAGGCTTCATGCTTTGTTTGCTATACTGAATAAGATTTTCAGGGAACTTTACTTACAGGTTGCTTGGCCCTTATATAATTATTTTCTTTAACATCATATCATCATATATCCAGAAATACTTACCTGAACATGTCCCATTTTCAGGAAAAACAGCAGTACAATCAGGATGCATCTTTGTGTCATTTGTGCAACGAGAATTATTTCCTTATAGGAAAAAAAATCAGCTTTTCATAAATGAAACTTTCAAGCATTTGGCTATAATTCCTATTATAAACATTTCTCTACACTGTTCTTAAAAAAATACAGTGAACTTTTGATTTAATAAAACATTTTGGGGAGGGAGGGTCTGTTACTCCACAATGTCTGTTAAATTGCAAATTACATCATTTGCAGCAGTTTGTCAAATTGCATAAAACCACAAATGATATAATTTACATGACATTATTTACATTATGTTCCATTTACATGTTGTAGATTAGCTCAAAGGAAATAAAATTAACATAAATTTAATTGCCTCACTCAGATGTTTTCATACTCAATGGACTTGTCCATTATTGCGGGGGGGGGGGGTAGTTTGGAGGCAAGTATTTCATCCACTGCATCTGAAATCCACTAAAAGGAGGTCTGTTGAAGCAAAGTTTCACTATACACAATATTAAGTATTCGGCTTTATTTGTGGCAATCGTATCCACTTTAATTGTGGCATTTTGATTTCTTTTTCACTATTATTATTAACTAGTTTCATATAGGTTACATTTAAAAGACAGGAGTTATACAATAAACAGAGTGCGGGAGTGTTTGCTAGAAAATTGACAACATTCATCCTCACACTACTGAATAACTAAATAGCTCCATCCAAAAAGATTTAATCTGACCTACAATCTAACAATATATTGTTACAATATAAAAACTTTAGCCCCACCAGAAATACATGTAGGAAAACCTGCATACATTAAAGAACATCTAGAAACCTACTGTCAAAAATTGGCTCAATATGTAAAAGAAAATCCCCACCCATTTCTTAGCTTTTTATTTCACCTTTAATTTTATCATGTCATATGTTGTAGAAATAATAGAAGACACAACAGAAAAAATTCTTAAACATTGTCAGATTACAGTCTGAAAGTATAATAATTCTAATGTTTCCTTGTCAGCAGTGTTCAATTCCTTCTGCTCCAACATTTCATTGCTCCAATGCTACTTTCTTGCTAGGTCCTTTTTTCAATACAATCTCTTTCTACGCTTTCCTCAGGATGCAGTTTATCAATACCTTGGCTATTTTTTCATTTTAGCAAACACGTTTTTGATGTGTCAGTATGCTGCACATACCTCCTAGATGGTAGGTTGAGGGCAACAGTATACTGGCTCACAAGGTAGCCTTTTAAAAGAGATCTTGGCTGGCAGAGAGTACTATGAGCATGCTGGGATAAAACTGAACTCTAGTTGTGCATGTAACACGTTAAGCAAAAGATGCCAAAACTCACTTGCATTGTGTTCCTTACTGTTAGCAGGGAATGCTGCATGTAGAATAGATATGAGGCTGATAACTCAGTGTTATGTGAAAGCCTCCTCTGACCAAAGCAATGTTAGGTGATGAAAGATAATAACCATGGACTCCAACAGAAGAGAATATATGTAGCTCAGGGC